TGCACGGGCTGAAGGACCTTCTGTGCACACAGCACAGGCTGCCAGGGGAAGGGGGCCCTGCACACCACAGCACTGACCACCTTTGGAAAGGGCTTTGCAGCTCATGGTGCAAGGCTAGAGTTGATTTTCCTTACATAGGCTGGGCAGTGGGAATTCCCCAGTTAGAAAGCTGGTCTTTGGTCACCGGGCAGGCACTTCCCGCAGGCAGGGTTCAAGCTCTGCAGTAAACTGCAGAGATTTCTCAGCAAATAAGTGGAAATGGATAATTTTCTTTCTTTGCCAGGTAAACGCCACAGCGCAACCTCACCATCAGCTGTGTCTGAGAAGCCAGCCCTGGGTACAGACTTCCCCATCCTTCCTGAATCGCAGGGAACTCTAAAGCTCTGCAGTCAGACACTTTGTGCTGGTACTGCTGACCTATACATTCGTCCTTAGTTTGGAGGCCATCCACGATGTAAAGGGAGAGGAAGAGCTAAGAGGTCCTCAGAAGATGTGCTATGGGATTGAGGGAACTACATCACCTAGGAAACTTGGTCTAAGTATCAGAGAAGGATTTTGGACAGCTCCAGAGGAATCTAGAGCCAACATGTCTCCATCTCCTAAATTAGCATTTCTTCTATTCATTCTCACGTCTTCCTTGGTAGGAGGGGACTGGACTCAACGTGTGATGAGTTATTGAGCCAAGTCTCCAACGTAATTTATGGGGAGAGAGGTCTGAATCCCCCCAGCTGCTTCAAGAGGAGGCCAGCACGATGGTGTTGGGCAAGAAGCAACAGGAAACTCAACCTACCTTTGTTCTTCCTCGAGTTCTTCTTTGGTCATCATTGACTTGTACTGGTTTCCCCTCAGCTTTCCAGGACTGTACTTAAAGGGGAACGTCTCATTTGCAGCTGGAGAGGGAGAAAGAAAGGGAGGGACAGAGAGGAGCAGGAGACGTGAGCCAGAGAGCACTGCAGAGCAATGGCAAACAGCAATGGACTTGCTCCCCTGAGCCCTGCTCCCGAGCACGCAGCCAGGTGCTATGTTGTCCCAGCAGCCCCAGTCCCATTTGGCTGCAGAGCCTCCTGGACCCCGAGGCCGTTGCTGGTTGGAGAGGACAGCAGGAGCCCTGGCTGCAGCTCGCACTGAAACCCCCGAGGCTGCAGAATTTTTACCGCTGTGCTGGTTGCAATGCGTGACCAGCTCTGTTTGGACACAGATACAAGTAAATCCCAAAGCACAGGAAGCATATGCTATTGCTCTGCCTGCATTCAGAGCCCTGCAGGTCCATCTTGGCTTATCAAGACATGCTAATCCTGCCCTTATTAGCTTGAAGCATTTACTGCTTTTTTCCCTGCTCCAGACCTGCGTTCCTGCTGCCTCCCCTCCTCATCCAGGGGCCCCTTCCCATGCTTTGGGCTCACAGATGGTGCTACAAGCAGAGCTGCCACGAGCTGCGCAGCCGCTGCCGGCTCCATCAGCTCTCCCTGACCTTTCCAGTCGCAGCCTTTGTCAACGCTGGTGCAGAAAGGAGGTGGCCACGCTGCAGATCCCAAGGCTGCAAACAGAGCTGAGCCAAGGCCACCTCGACAGCACCAACCACAGCTGTGCCCAAGCCTCCCTCTCTGCCACCAGCTGACAGATGTTGAGAGGAATGGGTCCCTTCTCCCAGCCCGAGTGCTCTGCTCCATGTTCCCAGCCACCCCACACTTCTCAGTCTCCATCTTGTGCTAATTAGAGTGCTGAAGCTCACAGACTGAGCCAAAGCCGATCCTTTTCCAATCGGATTTTGTTTCAGCACTATTTGCTTTTAAAAATCTCTCCTCTGGTTTATCTTCCTGCAAACGGGCAGGACACAACAGGAGTGGAGGTCAACCAAAAAGGCAGCCCAGGACGAGCGGATGATTTGAGGTGGTTATCTGTGAGCTCTTTATCTGTGCGCCTTTATCTCCCAAGGACTGCAGGACTGGCTGCCTCACAACCAGCCGTCTCACATTGCTGTTTCCACATCCACACGGAAACATCTGCTGTTTCCACAGTCCCTGGGGCTGAGGAGCCCAGCGGCTACTTCTGAGGTGTCCACCAAAGGCGAGCGGTACCCTGCTATCTGCATGTACCCACAAAGGAAATGCTTGAGGTGATACCTCCAGGCCCCAGCAAGACCCCAAGGGTGGGTTTTGTGTCAGAAGGGAAAGCCCCAGCTTGTATACAACCTATGGAGCCATCCTCTGTCCCAAACCACCCAAGAAGTTGCTTCTAACCCACACCACGGCTGCTGGAGGCCCACACTCACGGATGTCTTTCCTGCCTCGGTGGCACAGGCACTTAGGTGGCGGTCATGGGGAGGTGACAGGTCTTCCCTAAGGAAGACACACCACAGCCTCTGTCATTCTCCCTTTCTCACACCCAGACAGACTCAGCACCAGTTATTTCCCTTTATCATAGAATCACAGAATGCTCAAGGTTGGAAGGGACCTCTGGAGGTCACCTAGTCCAATCCCCTGCACATGCGGGGTCACCTAGAGCACCAACACACCAACAGAGGCTCCTCGCATTAGAAAATGCAGGACTCCCATCTTACCTCCATCAGATTTTCCTCCCCACATTGTCCTTAAGGGTTTCATCCCCACCCTCAATGGTCAACTGCCTCATCTGGGGACTTCTCCAGCCCCCAGCTTCTCCAGCTCACTCATGTAGAGCTGCAGCCAAAACTTTGCAGACCTGGGGCACTCCCATGCAGTCGGCACGTTGGAGCCTCATGTTGCAGACAGGGAAACCCAAGATCTGGAGGACGAGTCGCAAAGGCTGCCCGGGCAGGTAGGGGACCAGGCGTCCCAGGCGCCGCCAGGTCACTGCTGAAGCCGGGGGGAGTGAGTCAAGGCACAGACTGTGACTGGTGTCCAGCATGACACGATGCCCACGGGTTGCGAGCTGCTAAGCCTGGAGGTTTCACAGAAACCTGCAGATAACAACATTTCCTCCCTCCTCCTTTACATCTCCCATACTTTGCTGCTCCCGGAGAGCTTTCCTGCAAAGTCCGAATGGATCAGCCCTGACCCAAAGCATTTCTCTAATCTGAAAACATCGTCTGGCCTCCTAAGGGAAATGCGAGGCTAATCCTTCCCCCAGCACCTTTCCAAGCATCCGAACACAAGCCCTGAACACGCTGCCAGGCCATATCCCGCTTCCCTCGGTGGAAAACCCCTGCACGGGGACCCACCAACAAGTCTGGCCAGCTGGAAACAAGCAGCCACATCGCAGCTTATCAGCCCCTCGGCTGACCATAGAAATGCACTGAAAGAAAATCCAGCTGGCTGCTGCTTCAGGAGATTTTTAGAGGGGAAAAAATAAGAAAAAAGAGGGTGTAGCATCCTGTTTCTTACCCTGATGCAGACCAGGAGCTATTTTATTACCTCTGTATAGCTTTCCTGATTTTCAAGGACAATTAAGCTTGTTTCTCTGCCATGGTTTTCTGCCAAGTCAATGGAGGTTTGGGATTTGGCCTGCCCAAAGAAGGGCAGGGTAATTGCCACCCCACCAGAAAAGACTGAAGGGAGGAGGGTGGCAAGGAGGCGGCCACCTCGCTGCCCCGGCTGCGGTTAGCAGGGAGCCAGCGTGCGGCTTCCAAAACCTCTGGCTGTTTATGGAGCTCAGGAACTTTCCTCGTGGCCTGAAAACAAACGGAAAACGGGAGGCGGGATTTTCACGCGGGCCACAGAAGCACTGCAGAAGTATGAGGTGACCTACTTACCGCGAGCCCCGGCGAGCCGATATTAAATAAAACATTTGTCTTTCGCCTTCCTGCCTCGCATTGCAAGTGCCTGAGCCCAGGCTCGTGAGATAACGTGGCGCAGGCAGCGGCTGGCGGCGGGGAGCCCTTCGGGGCCCGGTTCTGCCCAGCGCTCGCTCCCGGGAACACTGCAAATCCCCATCCCCTCCCCATGACCGCCGCATGAGCTTCCGTGCCACCGAGGCGGGGAGAAGGCCCGGGACGCCGGGAACCCGCTCCTGAAACCGAGCACCGAGACCTCTGCTCGAGCAGGGCACCTCGGCAGACGCAAACCTGCTTGCGGCCACAGGTCCCCATGGGGTGAGGACCCAAGGGACACGTAGGAGACATGCTAAAGGAAGGAGAGAGCTGACCCCTCGCAGCCCCACACTGAGCGTTTTATCCCACGGAAACACCTAAGAAACGCTCTAAAGAACCTGGCAGAGGAGTCAGACGGCAGCAGATGCCCTGGAGGCCCCAGGCGGGCCGTGCCCGCCGCCAAGGCCGTCTCCTCACGCGGCCACACGGAGGGGCACGCGCCGCGGCGGCTCCTCCCGAGCACCCCCTGCCCCTCACTGGCAGCTCCGGAGCGCTCGCGGGCCCGCGGGCCGCACTGGGATTAAGGTTGGCTGCGGGGCAGCATTAGGCCTAATCCTCCTGAGCCAGGGATTGCCGCGGGCGCCCTAGGAAGGGAGGACGGAAAGTGGGGCAAGGAAGGGGGATCGTGCCCACCTGTGCCCCATGTTCCCACATGGGTGTCCCCGCGTCCCCGAGGCCGCTTGGGATGAAGAAGCCCCTGCGGCCACGTTCTCGCTCGTCACCATCTGTGTCGTTCCCTGACAGGCCCACTTGTCACCCCAATTAGTCAATTAATCATTTTCCAATCAAGTAATTGACTAATCAGTTAAACAGGGCTCTGGCTAAAGCCCCTGGAGATCCGCCTGGACGCCAGCAAGGAGCTTTTTGGGCGGCTTCTCCATGACACCGAGCCAAAAGCCATCCCTGCGGCCCAGGGACATGTGTGCAATGCGGAGGGGAGCACGAGGGGCTGCCTGTGGCAAGAGGGACAATTAAAACAGGAGTTTTGCCCCCCGTTTCCCTTCCGCCGGGCTCTGCTTGCGAGGGTCACAGGGGGTGCATTTTCTCGTAGTTCCCTTTCGTTTTGGGACCTCGATCCCCTCCTCTGCATCTCCAAGCACTTGGAGGCTTTAACCTGGCTGCATCCTTCCCGCAAGCCTTGCCCACCACTCACCATCCTCATCCTCTGGCTCCTTCACCTCCGGCTTCTCGTTTTCCGAATCTGGATCTTCCTCCTGGAGGGGGTTGAAAACAGGGCAGGGGTGAGGACAAGGGCAAACAGGGCCCGGGGCAGCCAGAACGGAGCATCCCAGGGCACGGAGCGCCTTCCCTGCCCCTTCCAGGGACGGGGCAGATGGAGCATCCCAGGGCATGGAGCGCCTTCCCTGCCCCTTCCAGGGACGGGGCAGATGGAGCGTCCCAGGGCACGGAGCGCCTTCCCTGCCCCTTCCAGGGACGGGGCAGATGGCTGTGGGCAGCCTGCCAGGGGCCTAAACCGGCTTCATCCTTGGGGACTTCTCTGGGGGGCACCCGTGTCTCCATGGCCTCTGTGAACTGCAAGGGATCTCCCCATCCTAACGGGAAGTTAGAGGTTTTGAGGAGCACCCAGCTGCGTTAGGGCTGTGAGGGCAGCCGGAGGGAGCCGACTGCACAGCCCCATGTCCGCACACGGCGCCTGGGCCGGCACACGTTGCTGGAGAGACCATTCATGGAAAACAGGGAGGCCAAAGCTCCCAGTAAGGGCAAATCTTGTCCCTAGCCCCAGCTCTCCTGCTCCTCTGGCACTGCCCGGTGTCCCCCGGCACCCCGACCAGCCACCCAGCCCAGGCAGCAGAGCCCCCGTGTCACCAAAGTGCCTCAGCTCGTGTGCCCTGGCAGGGTCTGGAGCCATTTCCTCCAGCTGGGATAGACGACCTGGCGGGAAGGGAATTCATCGAGGACACAGACAAGCTCTTGCCTCCATCCCCCTGTCCCTTCCTCTGCACCTTGGCCACCACCTCTGCCACAGCAGAATTGGCAATTAAACACCACCCTTTAAGGAAAAAAAAAAAAAGGCAAAATAAGCTAGGAAACGGCTGGCATGGCCTCCCAGAAGCTGCAAGAAGCCTTATCAGGCCCATGCTGGAGCCGCAGAGCAGAGCACAAGACACGGTGAGGAAAAGGCAGCGCCGGGCGGCTCTGCTGCTCCAAGGATGCTGTGCGGCCCCTTCCCAGTGTGGCGCGTCCCTCCGGACACCCCCTCGCTCGTGGTGCTGGGTGACCAGTGCCCAGGCGGCCGCTTTGTCACTGCAGGGCCAAGCAAAGGGAGTCAGGGACACGGGGAGGGGATGCCCTGCCAGGCATGTGGAGGGACACAGCAGGACATCGCATGGGGGAGCAGCTTCCAGACGCGGGCAGTTCCCTGGGCACAGCCAGGCCGGTGCCCGTGCAGGAGGATACGTGGGCAGGGCCCGGGGACATCGTGTCTGCCTGGAACAGCAGCGGAGCGGAGCAGCCTCCCAGCTCGCTCGCAAAAACACCCGGCGGGGACAAAACCCACCCAAAACCCAGAGCCCACGGCGCCTGCGCCCCTGCCAGCACCACGGCTCCCCCGGGACCCTGCCCCACATTTCGGGGCTACGGCGCGCGAGCGGAAAGCGCCGCGGGCCGGCGGGAAGGAGGCAGCCGTGTGATTATCTGGGAGCATCTGGAGGAGCCCGGCCGCGCTGCCCGGGCCAGCTGCCGCCGCAAACAGAGCGCCCTTTGCCGCAGGCTTCGCAGGGGGACGCGGAGGGAGCAGCTGTCCGGCCCCAAGGACACGCGGCCTCGTGGCTGCGCTCCCAGCCTGGCGGCTTGGCGGCCCCGGCTCGCTTGGCAGCAGCTCCCATGCCAGGGATGCTCCTGTGGGAATAGCGCCTGGGCTCTAGGCTGAGCGTCCTCAAAGTCCAGCATGGCCACATCGAGCACCTGAGAACTGGACAACTCGCCCCGCACCAAAGTCAGTCAGGAACAAGCTTGGAAGAACCGAGCTCCCCAGGTGGCCCTGAGAAGCACCATGAGCGCCAGCACCCCGGCCCTCCTTCCAAAACCAGCACCCGCCACCGCCGGGTCCGGAGCCAGCAACCCGGAATGCTAGCGCAGCATCTGCCTTATCCTCTTGGCTTTGGAGCTTCAGCATTTGCCAGATCATCAGAAATGTGTTTTTTGCCCTTTGGTTTCCATGGCCCGCAACCGAGATGCCTTCATGCTCATCCGTCTGCAGCCACCGGGGCCCGGATGAGCAGGAGGCAGGACAGGACAACCTGGGAAATTCCCGGCATGGGCAACGCTGGCCACAGGGGACCTCATTGGGCACTGATGTCCCCGGGGTGGCTCAGACACGTAAGCTCCTTCCTGGCCCTCCAAAAACCCCAACTCCTAAGTTTGCTGCTATTGGGCAACAAAGTCCCGGGGCTTCATTGCCAACCTCAGGAAGGATCTGGGGAGCCCGTCAGGCCGGCATCCTCCCCTTTTTCCGCCGGTCAAAGGGACTGTCCTGGTGTCTCCGGACAGGATGGGGAAAAAACAACAGCCCCCCTGCAGCACAGGGAACTGCAAAGGTGACGGGGAGAGAAAACTGTCTTGGAATAAACTCCCAGGCCCAGCGCGTTGCCATTTATGGCTGCACTTTCTCATCCAAGCCTGATGCAAGACTTTGCAAGACAGGGAGGCTACGGGGAAGGCAGACAGACAAAGGGTGAGCCAGAAAAAGAAAAGACGGGAGGAAAAGGGGAAGGAAGGAGCTTTTTTAAGGCAGAGTTTAGCAGAGTGAGGCAGCTGCTGGGCAGGCAGGTCCCTTTCACCCCGACTGTGGGTCTCCCGTCCTCCCTGCAGCCAAAGCAGCAGCTGCTCTAAAACAAGGGCTGCTTTTCTGTGCGGAGATGGCCCTCCCGGCCCGGGGCGATGCCCGGGACGGCTCTGGCGGGGCCGGAATGGGAGGCGCGGCGG